CAAAAGTTAAGACCACAAAAGCATTACATCTATAAATTCAAGTAGTCCCATTTGCTTTAAGATGGAGTTTAACTGGAAAACAAGTCTGTGTTGTCCTGAAACATCACAGCACTTACAGGTTTTTCAGTTTAACAATAGTTAAATTTCACTTAATGCAATAGTTACTTAACTGTTGCTTCATTTGTGTTCTCTTCACAGCTGAGCCCTTAAAAAAAGTCTAAGTGCTTGTAAAAACAAAAAAAGACTAATAAAGTTAATTATTATATAATTAACAGAGGTTTCTCCAAGTATCTATTGTTTGAGTTTAAGCTGAACAAAGCAGTAAATACAAAAGCAGTAAATACAAAAGCAGTGAAGATGGAGCTCCTATAAACTGGAAAAAGAACTGATGTATAAACTAGATCTCTTCAGCAGAAAAAACAGCCATCATTTAGCTGCCTACAAACTCCTCCCTTATCAACAAGTATTTCAAAGCTCTAGGACCAACCTTTATTGCCAAAAGTGCCTCGCATTGAAGCATATTTACCTTTACAAGTCTAGCAGGATGCTGAAATCCATCACGAAGTTCTTGGGGATCTTCAGCCAGAGCGCATGACTTGTGATAGAGATCTTCCATACTAGGACTAGCCATCAACATCACCTGTTGTGTAAGTCAGATCAGTCTTGTGAAGGTCTTCCACTATGACTAGTAAACATTGACGACAACTTGCAAACACATACATACTAGTACTCTTTCCTTAATGTCATTAAAAAATCAGAACAAGTAAAGGTAAAATAAAATTGTAGAACTGAGTGTTAAAATGTCTGCCAAGGACCAATTTCCCTCCATCCCATATGGATGCAGTGTGTGGTCTTATCAAAAAAAATAAACAGAAAGTATAGAAAAAGCAACATGCTTTGCATGTTATCACTATATGCAAAATACCCTATACCAAGAAGCACACTGAGTACATTTTTAGTATCAGTAACCGACTCCCTCCATTTTGTCATAATCACAAGAGAACTGACAAACACATTCATCTGCATCCTCATAGCATCCTGTTAGCCCAGTCAAATCTAACAAGATTGCTTTATATCCTAAATGGGTTAATATTATGAGACAGGATGCTATTCCTCAGTTACTGAACGTATTTTGAAGCTTAGCCTTCTGAAAGAGAGCTCTTGCTCTGCATCAATAGACTGGAAAAAAACCCAGCATGTCCAATACTTGATCCAAGTATCTTGGCTTCCAAGGCTTCCAAGTTTTTATACACAGAAGGCAAGTAAAGTTAAGTCTTTCAGAAACACAGGGGTTAAAGGCAGTTTTGTTTCTAAACCCATCTTTAACATGAAATACTTCTAAAACAGATTGACCTAGAAATCTCAGACCTATTTTAATGAAAGAGCTTTCAAATGGAACAGGTTTTAGGAACGTGTTTTGACAGTGAGGTCTGCTATACATCATTACAGCCCTTGATGCAGCATTTTTTGACATTCAGATAATCCCAATATATTCAATCTACTTTCAACAAAATAATAAATAAAGATTAGTCTGAAAGAACATAGTATCACCACTAAACAGAAGGGCACAAATTGCACGGAAAGGACCCTTGAAGGAAAAAAAAAAAAAGGGCTCCATGAACTATTCAGAATGAATCGTCTAGCAATTACATTCAGAGATCTTGCCGGAGCTGGCTTTCTTTGCTATAATCAGATCAGTGCAACTGGCTGCAGAGAACAGAAGAGACCTCAATAAAAACAGATTTAGAACAGCTCTATTAACAGAAAAACAAACTGAATTTCAGTCATGATTCTTCAAGCTCTACATACTGGCTCTTTACTGAAAAGTCTAAAATGCCGTATTTTGCTCAAATTGCTGTAGAATATTTTCAGTTCAGTTACACTCACTTTTTCACCCTATTGGTAAAAAAAATTTCTAATGAATAGTCATAATACCGGAAACCTGTACAAACCTTTGCACTGTACAGATGATCAGCATCAGGTGGATCAAGGACAGCAGCGTTTTTATCTATAGGATCTACTTCTCTATGCATTACGTAGAAATTACAGTAGTTTCCCAGCTGAAATGGTCTAGACATAGGAAAAGCATCCACCCATGTAAACTGAGCATCAAAGAAATCGCTTGGGATATACAAGTTCTGGTAACGCCTCCTCAGCTCCATCATATCACAGCTACGGCTGAAATAAGACAACATTATTTGAAAGATACAGCAATAAAAGAACCATTAATAAAGCACGTAATTAAGAGGAATATTAATTGGAAATACAACCATTGTATACTTAATACTATATATATATAAAATTTAAAGAGCAATATATTTCAGTGTCATGGATTGAAGTTTAAAAACAAGTAACTACTGAACACTCTTCCAAACAAGGTGTCTGCGTATTACAGAGTATTTATTAAACAGGGTTATAAAGGTATTATGCAGTAGCACTCAAAAAATAACAAAGAACCTCAAAAAAGTTCATCATACAAGGCTCTCGGCCATTACATATTTGATCTTTCTTTAAAGTGAAGATCATCATTTAACACTCACTACACACATGCGTTGACATAGCTCCATAGCTCACAGTAATCTGTACCCACAATTAAAGTGAGATGCAGGTAAACACCTGGCACTATAAACATACCAGTCCAATGAAAACTTGGAAAACTGAACCGTGTAACGAGGAACAACACGTCGTGGTCTTCGAGGCGACCTCTCCCTCTCTCGCCTAGGTGATCTCTCTCTGGAGCGTTTTCGCTGGGGTGATCTTTCCCGGGATCTACGTCTCTCTCGTTCTCTTTCACGACTTAAAACACACATACAAGACACAAATATTTTTGCATGCTGGTAACACAAAACGGTTTCTAGCACAACAGAAGCTAGATGGCTCACAAAAAGGAGAGGAGAAGTTCCTCATAGTTTGTTTTAGAACACTGTCTCTTTTGTAAAGAGAGACTGATTATGCAATTCCTTCTTCTCAAATAGAAAAGAACTCTTCACCAATATTTAATGGTAAAGCCACTTCTGTGTATCACTGACTCACTTTGGAGCAAGCAGCTCAGCTCTGTTTGAGGACAGGTCTTTACAGAATGCTTTGATTATAGTCTAGTCTTCTACAACATACCTCCTGTCATCTTTTCGGTTTGGCATAGGGTCTCCTCCTCTGTCATTCCTCCCAGAAAATCTGGATGGTGGGTCTAATCTTCGAGCTGGCTGAGGCTGTGAAACTAGACGAACAGGGGGCTGTAACAAACCACCTGAAACAAAAATTTACAAGGTCAATACATAATACGGAGTAACTATCTACACTTTACAAACACTGCTGCTTTACAGTTGTTTCGCTTGTGTACATTCTAAAGTAACTCTAGAGTCAAATAAATCTATGTATGACTAACACCAACCCCAAGAAACTCAAGAGACCTATGCTTTTCTTCACTGATGTAAACTGAGACCCTAGAGTAAGTGAAACTGGTTTAAAAACATCTTAAGATGGAGGCTAATATAATCTAAGCACACAGAAGCTATCATAGTAAATAGCTAAGCCTTTTCTTGCAAAAGTAGCTTGTTTCAAGATAGATATGCTACCTACCCATTGAACTAAAGAAAACCTAAGATTTATTTTTGAGGCTACTCATAGGTAAAAATCATTAGCTTCCTGAAAAATTATTCTTAAATCTGCTGCATCAGTCCCCCAGCACATACTTTTGCTGTCTCAAGATATTTAACCAACTGACTGTAAATGGAGCAAACATTACTAAACACCAATGAACAACTAGGACTGATTAGACTGTAATAAGCATCTACCCAAAACAGTTCTGCTTAGGTGATAGCTTAAGATTTTCCCCCCTTGCTTTTACTGTGGGTAAGACAAGTCAACTTTATCTTATTATCAACCCTATTACTGATTCTTCAGCCACTCAAAGTTCACGTGACCCCAAAACAAACTTTGCTTTAGATTTGCCATGGTCGGCAGTGTTTCCTCTCTCAAATGCCAACTTGGCCAACCAAAATAAATAAAATACAAATATAGGAATAATAGTTCTAACAATACAACTGTGTGAAACCTGATCTTGTTCAACACTCCAGAAGATGCTGAAGAACTACACTGCCATTGATACTTTCAAGTCCCCAACTTGTCTGTGAAAGTGTCAGAATAAAAGTTATACTGAATCTGCTTTCAGATTATGAAATCTTAATACGAACAGGAGTCCATGGGGTTTTCAATAACCAGGTGATTCCTGAGCTACTCCAGGCAATGCGCTTTGCATATAGCTACAGACACATGTTCAAACTGAAAGTTCTATAGGGTCCCTTCCATAGTATTTCAACTATTACTTCAGTCTTCTGACTAACAAAAAAAAAAAAAAAAAAAAAAAAAAAAAAAAAAAAAAAATCACACACTAAGCACCAGAAGGACCACAACAAACTTTGTGTACTGAAGGAACACCTTTCTGCTGTGGCTGCTGCAGTAATGGCTGAGGCTGTGTCTGAAGCAAAGGTGTGATTGAAGCTGCCGATATCTGTGCCTGCAACAAGGACTGTGGCTGCGGCTGTGCCTGAACACTGAATGCAGTCTGCTGTGCAATGGGCTGAAGAACTGCCGGAGGCGTCTTCAGTAACGGCTGAGCTTGAGTCTGGTTCTAACGGCAGAAGAGAAAATGAGCTGTGAGTGAGCTTAAACCAGAAGCAGTCAGTACAAGTTAGACTGAGTAACTCCATATACCTGATTTGGAAGTGTCTGGATCCTTTGTGCATTCCATTTGAATGGCATATTAGGATTGTAAGTAGCTTCTACCAAAACTCTGTCACCCACCTGAGGGGTCTTTCCTTTAACAGCACTGCAAACATTACAGAAAACATCTTGTGAGAGTCTTATTTAGCTAGTTTTACGTTTGCAAATTACATTTAAAGTTGGGAGAAAGTAGACAAAGTTCATTAAAAAAGCCCATAGGAAGAGCAGCTAACCCCCAAATTCAGTGAGAGTACTATCTGCTTCAATTCAGAGTATACACAGGAATTTAATTCCCGTTTTTGGTCCAAAACCAGAAGTTCCCTAAACAGTGCTGAGTTAAGACAGGCAGATAGCAAGTTATATGCATTTAATCACCAACAAATTCTGCAATTTCACATTACAAAGAGCTTAATACCTTCCAAGTCTCCCAGTCTTGGGTTTTGCATTAGGAAAACTCAAAAATTCACATAAAGGAACTCAGATCTCAGGTCTATTAACTTATTTGAGCATCTCACCTTCAGTGTTGACAGAAAACAACACACTAACTGCAGGCACTATCAGTGGAGTCAAAGAATTAGAATGCAACGATCTAAACCTTTTATTTAGCGAGGGTATCACAGAGTTCATCTGCAGGCAAGTATTTACATCTTACCTGAGTTGAAAAAAGACATCTTCATCCACAAAACCAAATGTATCATGTAGTTTAGTAACTACCCCAGTGAAGACACGCTGCTTTTGTGGTTGGGTTTGCTGTTGACTTGACCGGGGTGCTGGATAAGAAACAGTTATCTGGGCTGCTGGTTGAGGAGTAGACAGGCTAAGACTGGTAGGTAGCGCAACAGCTGGCTGTAAGCAAAATAAAGCAAACTATAAATCTAATAACCAGCTGACATACCTACAAGGAACAGTTCCTTTACCCATGTACACAGGAGTTTAAAATGTCCCTAATTATTCTGAGTAGAGATTTTCAGAAGGTAGAAGTTTTTTGGTTTTGTTTTGTTTATTTTTTAGATTACTTTTTTCCTGCTTTCAATGAAGACTGGCTTTGTTTATCCTTTTCTTTTAAAAAAATTCAACTTCCTCAAAATACACACATTGTCTAGAAAAACAATGAAGACTGCATTATTGTTTACAGGTAACCTGTACAGTGGGCCTGAAGAGGAGATAAATTCCCAACTTTGTTAGGAATACATACTTGGAGATCATTCTCCATTTATATCCTAGCTGTAGTGTCAGCAGTCAGTAAAGGTTGAAG